AAAAAAAAATTGTAAACGTTGAGACTGAATAATTAAAAAGAATTCACTCACAGAGGTACACGAGAGGACAGACAGACAGACAGACAGACAGACAGAGGGCATACGTACCTTGATTAAATAGTACAATGAAGCATGGGTGAGCACGAGTGGGTATGGATGGGTACAGGTGGGTCATGGATGGGTACAGGTGGGTCATGGATGGGTACAGGTTGGTACGGATGGGTACAGGTGGGTCATGGATGGGTACAGGTGGGTATGGATGGGTACAGGTGGGTCATGGATGGGCATGGGTGGGTATGGATGGGTACAGGTGGGTCATGGATGGGCCTGGGTGGGTCATGGATGGCACAGGTGGGTCAGGGGGGTTGGATGGGACAGGTGGGTCATGGATGGGTACAGGTGGGTCATGGATGGGCTGGAGTGGGTCATGGGATGGGTACAGGTGGGTCATGGTGACGGTGGGTCATGGATGGAGGTGGGTCATGGATGGGTACAGGTGGGTCATGGATGGGCACAGGTGGGTCGTGGATGGGCACAGGTGGGTCGTGGATGGCACAGGTGGGTCATGGATGGGCAGGGTGGGCATGTGGATGGCGGTGGGTCAGGATGGGTGGTGGGTCATGGATGGGTACAGGTGGGTCATGGATGGTACAGGTGGGTCTGGATGGGTGGGTCGGATGGGTGGTGGGGGATGGCGGGGGTGGATGGGCCAGGTGGGTCGTGGATGGGTACAGGTGGGTCATGGATGGGTACAGGTGGGTCATGGATGGGTACAGGTGGGTCATGGATGGGTGGGTGGCATGGATGGTACAGGTGGGTCATGGATGGGCACAGGTGGGTCGCGGATGGGTACAGGTGGGTCATGGATGGGTACAGGTGGGTCATGGATGGGTGCAGGTGGGTCATGGATGGGTACAGGTGGGTCATGGATGGGTACAGGTGGGTCATGGATGGGTGCAGGTGGGTCATGGATGGGCTGGGTGGGTCATGGATGGGCAGGTGGGTCGGGATGGGTACAGGTGGGTCGCGGATGGGTACAGGTGGGTGCGGATGGGCCAGGTGGGTCGCGGATGGGTACAGGTGGGTCGCGGATGGGTATGGGTCGTGGATGCAGGTGGGTCATGGATGGGTACAGGTGGGTCTGTGGATGGGTACAGGTGGGTCATGGATGGGTACAGGTGGGTCATGGATGGGTACAGGTGGGTCATGGATGGGTACAGGTGGGTCATGGATGGGACAGGTGGGTCATGGATGGGTACAGGTGGGTCATGGATGGGTACAGGTGGGTCATGGATGGGTACAGGTGGGTCATGGATGGGTACAGGTGGGTCATGGATGGGTACAGGTGGGTCATGGATGGGCAGGGTGGGTCATGGATGGGTACAGGTGGGTCATGGATGGGTACAGGTGGGTCGTGGATGGGTACAGGTGGGTCATGGATGGGTACAGGTGGGTCATGGAATATGCTGGGTCATGGATGGGTACAGGTGGGTCATGGATGGGTACAGGTGGGTCATGGGATGGGTACAGGTGGGTCATGGATGGGTACAGGTGGGTCGTGGATGGGTACAGGTGGGTCGTGGATGGGTACAGGTGGGTCATGGATGGGTACAGGTGGTTGGATGGGTACAGGTGGGTCATGGATGGGTACAGGTGGGTCATGGATGGGTACAGGTGGGTCATGGATGGGTACAGGTGGGTCATGGATGGGTACAGGTGGGTCATGGATGGGTACAGGTGGGTCATGGATGGGTGGGTGGGTCGTGGATGGGTACAGGTGGGTCATGGATGGGTGGTGGGCCTGGATGGGTACAGGTGGGTCCTGGATGGGTACAGGTGGGTCATGGATGGGGTACAGGTGGGTCCATGGATGGGTACAGGTGGGTCATGGATGGGTACAGGTGGGTCATGGATGGGTACAGGTGGGTCATGGATGGGTAAGTGGGTGGATGGGACAGTGGGTCGGATGGGCAGGTGGGTCACGGATGGGTACAGGTGGGTATGGATGGTGCAGGTGGGTGTGGATGGATACAGCTGGGTATGGATGAGTACAGGTGGGTATGGATGGGTACAGGTAGATGGTTCTTCAGAGTTTACGGGCGTCAGGGATGCACGGAAACTAGGGTGACCAGGACCTACAATAGAGTGCACGGCCGCTAGAGTGCACGGCCGCTACAGTGCACGGTCCACAGAGTGCACGGTCCATAGAGTGCACGGCCGCTAGAGTGCACGGTCCATAGAGTGCACGGTCCATAGAGTGCACGGCCGCTACAGTGCACGGTCCATAGAGTGCACGGTCCATAGTGGCCGCTAGAGTGCAGTCCATAGAGTGCAAGTTCCATAGAGTGCACGACCGCTAGAGTGCACGGTCCATAGAGTGCACGGTCCGTAGAGTGCATGGTCCATAGTGTGCACGGCCGCTAGAGTGCACGGTCCATAGAGTGCACGGCCTCTAGAGTGCACGGTCCATAGAGTGCACGGCCTCTAGTGTGCACGGCCGCTGGAGTACAAGAAGGGTTTTCTCTCATTTCTTGCAGGAACAGAGAGAGGAAAAAAAAGGACTTGATAAAGACCGAGAGACCGAGATATAAAGAGGAGATAAGAAAGAGAGAGGTCTGGGATGGTATAAATGATCACACACACACACACACACACACACACTTGAGAGATATTTCCTGAAGGGGAGACAGAGGAAATGTCTCACTAATACTGTAATGTGACTCAGGTAAAACCACCGTCTCTCTCTTACATAACTGATGAAGAAACACTATTAATACAAGGAGGAAAATGAAACACTAATGAATAATGATAACAGTATGACAGAATGACAGTATGATAGAATGACAGTATGATAGAATGACAGTATGACAGAATGACAGTATGATAGAATGACAGTTGTGATAGAATGACAGTATTTTTTTCAGTGTTAGTACATAACAAGTCACTGACCCACATCAGGACTGGGGGGCGAAAAATAATAATAATAATAATAATGTAATTTGTGTGAATAATAATAATATGATAATACAGTAACTCATAGTAAATAGGTTTAGATAAAAGTGAATATGAAATGTGTGATGTGAATGATGTGTGATAATAACAAAGAAATACAAACAAAACCAAAAATTCAACAGTGATAAACGCTATATGTACTGTATGTTGTGTTGTGTTGTGTTGTGTTGTGTTGTGTTGTGTTGTGTTGTGTTGTGTTGTGTTGTGTTGTGTTGTGTTGTGTTGTGTTGTGTTGTGTTGTGTTGTGTTGTGTTGTGTTGTGTTGTCAGGGAAACAATTGAGACCCAGCAATTGTGTGTAAATGAGGCAGAAAGTCAGATCAGCAACCTGGGACTCGGTCACATATGGCAGCAGGGTCTACCATTAGACAACGCATTATGCTTCCAATATCTTCCCAGGCGGTAGTACCTCCCTGTTTGGTAGCTGCCTACTACCTACTACAGTATGACAATGACAGAATGACAGTATGACAGAATGACAGTATGACAGAATGATAGTATGATAGAATGACAGTACGATAGCATGACCGTATACCTTATATGGGGGTGTCAAGGGTCCATATTTGACATAACACTGATCTATACCGTATACCATAAGTCGTGTTATTTTACAGTATACGAGACGGTAGAATGACAGTATCAAGACCTGATTGAACAAAACTTAAACAAGACCCAACAAAACAAATAAATAAAATAAAAATAAAATAAAATAAAATAAAAAATTTAAAATATAAGAAAAAACCCACTAATAAAACAAAACATTATTAGGTTCATACGTTAACAAATAAAAGACAAATATTTGCACACACACACACAATGACTCACAACCATTACCATCATCACCATCACCATCATCATCATCATCATCATCATCATCACCATCATCACCATCATCATCATCACCATCATCATTATCACTACCATCATCACCATCATCACCATCATCACCATCATCATCACCACCACCATTATCATCACCATCACCACCACCATCATCATCTCTCATCACCACCACCATCACCACCACCATCACCATCATCATCACCATCATCACCACCATCATCATCTCTCATCACCACCACCATCACCACCACCATCACCATCATCATCACCATCATCATCTATCATCATCATCATCATCATCACCATCACCACCACCATCACCATCTTCATCACCATCATCATCATCACCATCATCATCATCTCTCATCATCATCATCATCACCACCACCATCACCATCACCACCACCATCTTCATCACCATCATCATCATCATCATCATCATCATCTCTCATCATCATCACCATCACCACCACCATCACCATCATCATCATCATCATCATCACCACCACCATCACCATCATCATCATCATCTCTCATCATCATCATCATGTTTACTGTGATCCCCGACAACACATCTTTTAAATTATAATTAATATAACTCTAAGAAACTGAATCACTTTATATAGTAAAACAATAATTACTGAGAAGCCTATTAAATAATTCACAAATTTACCTTAAAAATTATATAAAATTTTTCAAATACGAGAAAAGATAAATTAAACTTCTTGGTAAATGTTAAATGTGTATAATGTTAACATAAACTCAGGAAATGGTCGAAATTAAAAGCAGTTTAAAATTCACTTCATTCGCCGTGCAGGAACGATCGACCCCCCAGAAATGTTATACAGTTGCTATTTTTGGAGGAACCTTTCATCCAGAACACATCGTTGGCCAATTTCACTTCCCCCCTTTTCCCTCGTAGGCAAAACATTCCTCGCTCACGTTACGCAGTGCCAGACCTACAGGAACAACTCTAAAGAAAGAGAGACAGACAGACAGACAGAGAGAGAGAGAGAGACAACGATAGACAGAGACACAGATAGAGAGTTAAAGAGCGATTTAGAGAGTCAGTCAATTAGAGAGAGTTAAAGATAGAGAGTGAGCGGGAAAGGGAGTTAGAGAGTTACAGAGAGCTATAGAAACATAGAGAAAGAAAGAGAGAGATAGAGATAAAGAAAAATAGAAAGAAAAAAAAAGGATGTAGGCACGTCACCCCTGAGCGCACAGGTCGCTTACACTACAAAGATACCGCCACTTGCCTGATGTAAACAAACCTTTACCGAGCGTGAAGACCCTAAAGAGACGATCACATCCTCTCCTTTACGATCCTACTTAAGCAGATTCTGTAGACTAAGTGATCTGTATCGAACTCAAGCTGAGGTATAGACGATCTGAACAAAGGATCTGGATTGTATTAAGTAACTGAGGTAAGAAAGAGTCAAGTTTGAGCATAACTGAGGCATCTTACCTGGGGTTTGCTCCAACAGTTAGATAGGAATGGAGGGGACCGGTGGTAGAAGCGGTACCGTTCTTGACTCGCAAGCGAGATATCACGGGTTCGGTTCCCGTGCCGGTGGAAGTTGTTTGGACATACTTCCTAGCCCCCATTAGTCCCTGTTCACCTAGCAGTAAAGTAGGTACCTGTTGTAAGTCGAAAGTTGCGAATTCATAATCAGGGAGTTGTTGGAGCTTCCAATAACTTGATGACATAAGCCACTGACTCTTCAAGCTTCTACGCCCTTGACTCTTCAGGCTTCTACGCCCTTAACTCATGAGACATAAAGGCAAGCATGAACTTAGCATGCTTCCCTGTTGGGCGCTGTAAACGCTTCGGCGCTTCACCTTACACAAGGATGTAGGGGAGTGCCCAATAAAAAAAATAAAAAAAAAGTTAGATAGGAAGCCATTTGATCTTTTGTTCAGCTACTGTGTATAAGATATTTAGACCAAGGCTGAAAGACGAATGTGTGTGTGTGTGTGTGTGTGTGTATGTGTGTGTGTATGTGTGTGTGTAAAATAATAATAATAATAATAATAATTAACGGTTTATTGAAAGAGCTTGGCAGCCAGAAGGCTGAAAATATACAGTTACATATTTGGGGAATGGGTTTCGAATTACAAATAATATACAAGTAACATAAGTGACACAAATATGACATATAATAACTAGATGGGGAAAAGCTCAAACTACAGTTCATTTCAACATAGTGACAGTGCAAGGAGTAGTGTTTGCTGGGAGTGAATACACTGGTTTATTACAAGTTATTGATAATTTTTACAATGGTTGGGACTGGGCTGTTCTTATAGCGATCAGTTCGTGCACGTATGGGCTGGATGCGGTTGTGGTGTCGAACAGCAATTCTCGGGCTAGGGATCTCAGGTGGTAGTAGGAGCCGGTGTCGAGGATGGTGTAGAAGCTTCTTACCAAATTTGCAGATGAGGTCGTGGTGATGGTCAGTGAGAGTCGAAAGGGTCAGTGTGTTGAGCGCTTCTTGATATATGGAGTAGGAAGGGGAGAGAATAATCTTGCATGCCCTCTTTTGCACTTTTTCTAGGTGTTTACGTTGTGTGGCATTTAGGGAGGAAGACCAGGTTGGGGAGGCATAGGTGAGCTTGGGAAGTATGGTGATCATTGTAAACACTGAGGAGCTCGGAGTGCACGAACTCCGAGGGACTTAGTCCTAGGCGGAGGAGGTGGAGACAGGAAAACTGGAGAGGATTTGACAACTTCATGACGTGTGGTTTTAATTTAGTTTGTTGTCTATGGTGACGCCGAGGAGCTTCGTGGAATCTACAACCTGGGTGTGTTCGGACCTAGAGTAATGGAAGGAGGGTGGGACAATGTCAGAGAGGTTGATGTGCATAACCATGGTCTTGGTATGGTTGATGGTGACATGGTTGTTGGTGGCCCAGTTTGGGAGACTGTTCAATAAATCCTGAAGGGGCGGTATAGTTGGGAGCAGAATTGTTGACGCTGATCCCAATGGTGGAGTCGTCGACATATTTCCAGCGAGCAGGGGTTTCTCTTAGGGCATCATTGATGAGCATAAGGAAGCAGAGTGGTCCCATCTTGGTGCCTTGGGGGACGCCACAGGTGAGTGACTGAAAGGTGGAGACAGCCCCTCGGAAGCGTACAGCTTGGCGTCGGTCACTGAGGAAGTCTGTGTGTGTGTGTGTGTGTGTATGTAAGTCATTTCAGAAACGACAGACGAGATTTAGATTGGGTGTTGAGAGAAAAAATTATTATCTCTCTCTCTCTCACTCTCTCTCTCTCTCACCAAATAATAATTAACCACTCGTTGATACACTCACTACAGCCTGGTGAAGGGAGAAGAAGGGAGAGGGAGCGTGGTGGGAGGAGGGAGGGAGGGAAAGGTAGATGGGGAGGGAAGGAAATCAGGAGAGGGGGAGGGAGAGGGAATGTGAGGTGGGGAGGGTGAAGGAGCGGAAGAGGGAGGAGGGAGAGGGAGATGGATAGGGAGAGGGGATGTGGGAGAGAGATTAAGAGGGAGAGGGAGAAGACACTAAGAGACTTTAAGAATTCTCCTTCAGATTCTTGGGCTGATCATTAAGACGTTGAAGAGACGATTGAATTAGTCTCTCTATCTCTCTCTCTCTCTGTCTCTCTCTCTGTCTCTCTCTCTCT